ACCGCCGCCGCCGCCTCTGATGCATCCTCCGCCGCCGCCGCCGCCGCTGCCGTCGCCTCAGCTGCACGGGGAGCGTCAACCACAGATGCTGGTTGATCAAAGCTGAGGCGCCGGCGTACTCTCGGCGTAGTCCTCACCGTGCCGCTCAAGGAGCCGCCGCACTCGCTCCCGAACACTCGTCTGTGCTTCCACCGGCGTGCCCGGCGGGAAAATGATCCCAAGAAACATCGCTTGGTGCAGCTCATCACGTCCCTCTTGATCCTCCGTACACGCGTTCAAACCAGTGGAAAAGGTCTCGACGATGAAGCGCTGGCCATTGGCGACAAGCTGCCCGTGAAGTGGCTCCGCGACGCCCACCAAGAGGCGGCGTAGCTCGAGCTCGGCCATCAGCCCAAATGAAGAGAATCGCGGCAGTTTCCTTTTCGCCCGTTTTTCTCCTTAAAATCCCTGTGTGGTGGCGGCGTGCCGTCCTCCCATCCCTCCCTTGGGTTGTCTGTTTTTCTTTCTTTCTTACCTCACTTTCCGCAGAGTTTTTCGGCCGCGTGACAAAAAGATCGCAAACCCTATCAGCAATCCTCCTCCGGGAATGTACGTAAGAGCCACGTACATTGAAAAGTGTGGATTCGGGCACTGGGGCGTGGAGGAAGTAAGCGTGTACGGCTGGTCTGTGAGAGGTTGTAGACAGCGGAGCAGCGAGGAGCGGTGCGATAGCAGACAGCCGGCCAATGCGGTTGCAAGACCTGCCTGACGCGCTGTTCGAGCACATCCTGTCCTTTCTACCTCGCGGAGTGACTGCCTACGCTGCTTGCGCCGTGGACTGCCGCTGGGCGCGCACTTGCGACGACGCCTTGCGCTTGTTGTGCGAGAAGCACGCGTGGAAGCAGCCGCGCAGCCGCCGCCTCGCCGCCGCCTCGGCCACCGGCGGCGGAGATGCGCTGCGCTGGCGCGCGCTCTACGTCTCCCGCGCGTGCCCTGCATGCCTCGACGCGCCTGGCGACTTTGCGGCACGGCGTTCAAAGCACGAGGCGCCGCTCTACCTCCTCTGCGGCGCGTGCTGCAGGCGCGAGTCAGTCATCGATAAAATGCGGGCGGCGGGCGCCACGCTCGACGTGACGGGTGTGTCTGGCAAACCGCTCTACACGCAGCGGGGCGACCGATTTGTGTCGGAGGTGGCTGCCGCCGCCCGGAGAGCAGGCCTGGGGTGAAGGAGCGCTGCCTCTGCTCGGCACGTGTGTGTGCAAAGTGTTTTGTGTGTGAGGCGCGGTCAGACGGGCGTGGCAGCTTGTGTACAAGGTCTGTAGTACACGCCGTACGAAAAAGGCCGCCGCGACCCGCGCGTGTGGTGTGTGTGGACTGCACAGAGACTGTTTTTTCACAGAGACACGGCCCCCTTTCTCGGGGTCGGGCGCGTTGGCCTCTTTTGTAGGGAAGAATTTTGATACCCGTCAAGACGCCTGCTGGGGGCAGCTTCGTAACGAAGCCGTCTGCTCCCCCAGCAGGCACACACTAGACAGATAGGAGGAGAAAGGGGACGGTGGTGGGTTTAGGGTTGCCTAACGTTAATTTGGGGCCTAACAGTTGCGCTATTGTTGGCTGAAATCCTCAACGTTGGTCAAGTGTTCTCCCCAGCCCAAGCTGTTACTGTTTGGTACTGTTGTTACTGTTGTTCAGCGGCCAGCAAGCGAAAAATGGCAAAAAAACCCGGGGAAAACCCTAAAATACCCGGGAATTTTCGGGGATTTTCGGGTATTACCCGCACTGGACACTACAGATCGTCGGGGGGCATTGGCCGGCCCTTCCTTAATGTTGTTCAGCCGGGCCTAACCTTAA